CAGGAAGTTTTGTGAAAACCTGCAGATTGCTGGAGATTAGAGAATGTTTGAAAAAGATAGTTTGTTTTGCAAATCTCCTTCCAGTTGAGATACTTAGGAATGAGAACAGCCTCTCATCAGAATTTTCTGTAAATAGGTTATTATGAATACACATACATTACAAATTTGATTGTGCGTATTGGGTTTTGTGTAAGTTTTATAATCCTTATGCTTTGCTTTCGCTTAGGAGTTAGGGAGTAATGAATTGAAAAGAGCCAGGGTTTTGTACTGATGTATAACTAAATCTTACATACTGATAGTTTAATACTTGATTCTGTTATCTAGAGTATTAATGTTTACCAAATTTAACACAGACTGATACTATTAGCCTGAGCTTTGCTTTGCAAAGAAAAGACAGCCTCTGTGTAGTAAGTCTTTTTTTCCTAAATGTGAATTTTTTTACAAGCTAAAGGGATGGTGCTAGAATATTCTATTTTAAAGGACATTCTGAAGTATTTTTAGCCCACACAAACTGTAGTGTTTTGATTTAAAGAATGCAATATGCTTAAAATATTCAACTAAAAATAAATTCTAGTCTAGAAAAGCTTCAAAAAGTGTATTTTGTGTTGGGAGAGGAATGTTTTGTAGCCTAGCCTTCATTTTTACAATGAGGTTGTTCTTGTTGTGGAGTTCTAGTCTCTGGCTGTAATTTGCTTAGACCTAAAAGGTCAGTTCAGTAGAAGAGAAGCGAATCAAAGGAGGTGAGACTTCCTCAGGCTGAAGCTTTTTTTAACTCCATGTGAGAGGTACGTGTTTAAAGTCTCTCAAAAGCAGTTGAAGGAAAATAACGTTCTGGTGAGAGAAGGTTTACTATTTATTTTTAAATAGTCTTGGTATTTCTGGCAGCATGTTGGGTGTTCTCATGGCGTTTAGATGTGGTATTGAGTTCTTTCCTCATCCTTTTTCTTCTTGAAAAGTTTTTTCTGTTTGCGTATTTGCAAGCCCTAGGTAGTGTATAGCCTTTCAGTGAGGACAGAGGGAGCAATTTGTTTTGAGGACGGAAACAGAATTTTTTTGTTGTTCTTTCTGCCATTCGTGCCAGTCTGTCTCCTGTTGCCAAATGGACGCTAAATAGGTCATTCCAGCAGAAATCATTGCGTTGAGAAGCAAAAGAGAAAAGCCAGGCTTGCTGGTGGTATGCACTTAAACAATCACAGAATTGTTTAGCTTGGAAAAGACTTTTTAAGATCATCGAGTCCAAGCATGAACCCAGCACTGCCAAGTCCACTGCTAACCATGTCCTCAAGTGCCGCATCCATGCATCTTTTGAATCCCTCCAGGGATGGTGACTCAGCCACTTCCCTGGGCAGCCTGTTCCAATGTTTGACAACCCTTTCAGTGAAGAATCTTTTCTTATATCCAATCTAAACCTCCCCTGGTGCAACTTGAGGCCATTTCCTCCTATGCTATTGCTTGTTACCTGGGAGAAGAGACTGACCCCCACCTGGCTACAGCCTCCTATCAGGTAGTTGTAGAGAGCAATAAGGTCCCCCCAGCCTCCTTTTCTCCAAGCTAAACAATCCAGCTCCCTCAGCCACTCCTCATTAGACTTGTGCTCCAGACCCTTCCCGAGCTCTGGTTCCCTTCTTTGGACATGCTCCAGCACCTCAATGTCTTTTCTTGTGTTGAGCACCTAAAACTGAACAGAGGATTTGGGGGTGTGGCCTCACCGGTGCCAAGTACAGGGGGACGATCATTTCCCTAGTCCTGAAGGCCACACTGCTTCTCTCTAAATTTTGGGTTGGAAACATCCTACTCACAAACTGCCTTTCTGAGCTCTTTCATTACTTAGCTATTCTTCCCTGGTCAGAAGTGGTGTGTGAGTACGACGAGTTGTTGTGCTTTGTCTGATGTAACTGTAGTGAAGAGGAGGGGTACGACCCTTCTTTGGCAGCAGCTTCACACTTAGATTGGATTAAATGTAATGTGAAACCATACCCCAAATAATTGGTTCTATGCTGCTAGAGGTTTTCAGGGGGATATTTGAGTTTATTAAAAGGTATACATGCCTTCACAAGGAAACAGGCTTTTTTGGCCATGTTTTGAAATATGTGTGTTTTCCCTTTGCTGGCCCACCATTAAAACAAAGGTGGAGCAAAGGCTGCTTAAGAACTTGTCTTTTGTTTACTAACCTTGATTTCTCATCCCACTATGTTGCAGCTACAGAATAGCTTGTTTCTTGCCCCTTGCTCGCTCTGTATGCACCCTCAGGCATTGCAGTAGAAGCCTGTGGAGCACATGCCTATATGTATGAAGAACAGTAGTTGGTGCAAAAATCTAAAGGATGCTACAGTCACGAAAGAACACCTTCATTTACTGGTGTTCATAAATTGAATCATTGATGCCTACACCCTGTAAGTGCTCAAGGTTTTAATAAAAGATGGATATTTCGTAAGCAGTCCAGTTTTTGTGGCACTGGTGAGCTCAAACCAAGCAGGTGGAAGTACAGCAACCTTCAGCATTGGTTTGAGAGGAGAAGCATCTCAGACCATATGGCAACAAGTCTCTGCAGCCTCTCTGGGGAAGTGGTAAAAGCTCGTGGGCATAGCTTGAGGCTGTGTGGAGGAAAGACCTGACAGTTTTGCTGTCCTTGTTGAAATGAGGAGCTGGGTGGGTAACGGAGAGCTGGTGATGCTGCCAGGCCAGGCTCTGAGTTCCACAGGCATTTGTTTGTACCAGAGAAGAATGCCAGCAGAGAGAACTTTCAAAGTACAGACAGACCAAAAGTATTTTCAGTTCACTCATTCATTTCACTACTGTGCCAAACTTACAAGTCATTCCCTAATCCCTTTTCAGTGCTCTGGGGACTGATAATAGGGATACTGCAAAACAGCATGGATGACTCTTGCTGCAAAGGGTTAATTATGAACTGTGAAACAGGCTTAACCTTTACTATTTAGTGTGGTGGTCCTCCTTGCTGCTTATCGTTAATCACATGAGATTTGAGCAAGTACAGAGATGTGGAGAGCGGATGGGTGTATGTTTGTAACAGCCCAGCTCATGAAGAACTCCAGTGGGGGAAAATTATTTTGCAGAAAGCAGGGTTGCTTGCTAACCTTTATAGTCTGTTTTTTTTTTGCTGAGAGAGCATATGCTTTGTGCAGAACAGAAGCCAACACAAAGCGTCCTTCTCTGGCTGCATGTATAGTTTTGGTGATAGAAATGTAGTTGACTGAAATTAAAATCCCATTCATTCTGCATGGGACGACTCAGTCTGCATGAAGGAATGGGGCTTTCCAAAGCAGTCTAAATAATTTTGAGGAGATATAAGCAGATGTATACAAGACCTTCATTCTAGAGAGATACTTGTTCATAGATATGAGGAAATATATGTGTTCAGTAGCCTTTTAGTTCCAATTCACAATTTATAAGCACCATGATAAAAAAAAATTATACACAGTATGTTGTTTTTGCCATCAAGGAGGTGGCAAAAAGCAGTAAGAATGGCTGGTATGTTCTGTTATTTTGGGAGGTGGGGGTTAGATAATGAGAAGATGGACTACTTTATGCAGAATTTGGGGAGAAAATTGCTGAATGTTACTTTTGTTTGCTGTTGTCATTAGGGGACGTTTGTATATACATACACACACTGCTGGGATTTTCAGTTTTTTTTTTGCTGCTTTAGCCACAAAATTGCGAAAGTTTAAATCTGCAGTAACAAACCTCTTCTTACCCAACTATTCGAGGTTAATAGCCGTGAAAAAGAAAAGGTTTGACAATTATGTGTTTCATCCATACTGAACAATAACTGTGCTTTCCTTAAGTCACAACAGTCAAGCCTGCAGTGGAGTGACAAGACCTGGGTTTTCCTTCAGTGTTATTTGATATGTTTCAGATTGACATTATGTAAATACTCTGCTATTAGGGAAGAAAATGACATAAAATTGCATCCTTTCTCAACAAGGTTTTAAGTTCTTTCTGTAGCTTCTCTCTTTTTTGAAGCTGTAATAAAGATCATAATTAGAATCCCAGTTGCTTAAGTGAGAAATTAGCATGTTCTTAAATGCTGAGCTGAGCCGGGTTCCCAGCGAGACCCCCTCCAGGTATCTGTCCTGCCCCAAACCGCTTTCCCTAATACCAATTTACATTCTAGACATATTAAAGAAAATCGCATTCATTGCTACCTAGCAGTTAATCAGAGCCTTCAGAAAGGCTTGAAATGATTTGTAGCCTGGGTGCCAAAACCACCTGCAGCCATTAATTTCCTGCAGCCATACCCGGGCATGCTCTAAAACTAATCAGAGGGTGTCAGTCAGGACTGAAGAAATTCACTCTGTGCATGTCCTTCATTCTTAAAAATTTACTTAACCCCACTCCAGACCTTCTTGCTTACTGTCCTTCTAGGCTGTGGCCAAGCAAACGAAAATCTAAATGGCTTTGACTGGATGTTTTTCTTGTCAAAAATACTTTTTCCTAAAGGTTTTGATTTGTTCTTGTAGAACTGGACGCTAATGTATATACCTTATCTATTAATATGTATATTTACCATGGAAATAATATTCTAGCAGATTTTGATAAATTAAAACTTTAATGGGGCCAAAATAAACCTAATTTGTAAAATAATTAAAAACAGAAAGCAATGAACACTAACACTTAACAAAAAAAAAAAAAAAAGGCATTTTCATGGTGCAAAATACAGATTTAATTTCCAAATAAGTGAATGGTAAACTGTAATTGTATCATGTGCAAAAACCCACTCAGCACATATGAAACAGTAGTCACAGATTTTACAGTCAAGATGTTCCCTTTCTGGTTTTCCAAATTGTAGCAGAAGATACCAAAGGGTAAAACAAATAAAATACTGTCTTCATAATTGACCCAGCTAGGGATATATTGGTGGGAGATGGATTCAGATCTCTCTCTCTCCTTGTTTTTTTTTTTTTTTAATGGTGAATTTTTATGTTCTCTCTCATCCTGCGAGTTCTGCCTAACAAGCTTCTGACGTGCTCTTGTTTCCACAGGCCAAGGCTGCAAGCACAAAGGAAGTTTGCTCAGTCCCAGCCAAACAGTCCCAGCACAACTCCAATAAAGATAGTGGAGCCGTTGTTACCCCCTCCTGCCACTCAGATTTCTGACCTCTCCAAAAGGAAGCCCAAGACAGAAGATTTTCTCACTTTCCTCTGCCTTCGAGGTAGGTGTCTCATGCACAGAAACAGCAGCTCGACAAATGTACTGTGCTGCACTTGAATGCACTGTGTGCATTTCAACTCTCAGCGATTTGACTGTATCTGCAGCAGAAGCATTCGAGTTCATGGCTCTGAAGATCATAAAATGAGGCTGGTAATAGTGCAAAAAGAAATTCCTTTTATGCTTGGCTCTCTGTTATCCTGAATGGGTTATTGTCTAGCTCTCTTAAGTCCTCCCCATCCTCCTTTGTTTTGTCTGACTATAAACTGAAGGAGTGCTTAACTTGCCTGAGTACTTGTTCCTGCAAGAGGAGAAATCTGGTTGAAAATTCCCCTTCTCTACCTACTCACTGTCCTTTATTGTTCTACCTGAGTGAGGCTTTTCATGGGATGTGGAGGGGTTGCCGTTGTTCTTGACTACCTCAGGAGCCGGATTGTTCCTGTGGTGATAATTAAAATGGGTGAGCTCCTCCACCACCCAAGTACAAACGAGGCATCTGAAACTGTAGAGAGAGGTACCTGAATTAGCTCATAGTAAGAGGTGTCTGAGCCTGGCTGGTGTGTGTCTGCAAGCCTGCACATCAGACTTGGGGTGATGAGTGGGAGCTACAGCTGACTGTCAGGATTAAGCTAAAGAAGGAGGCCTTACCTGAGTGGTCATTTTCCTTAGTACTGTCCATGGCACTGTGTGCCAGATCATCTACTGAAGATAGCATCTTTCAGTTTAATTTCCCAGTTGTCTTATTATCTCCTGTGGTATGTGTCTTTTCTGGCAGGTGCACCCCCTCCCCTTAGTCACTGCTACATCCTTGATGTGCTGGAATGATGCCTCTTGCTGTTGTTTTGTCCTTTTACCTGCTGAAAGGGTGTGAATTTGTTACAGATAGGGTTTGTCTGCAAAAGTCTTACCTGGTGGGTTGAATCTTTCAAAGCTTGTGTTTGAGTTCCACTTTCCAGCGCTGAGGTCTCTGTCTCATCTGTGAACAGCAGTGATCAACACCACCCATAGCTTCCTTCTGAGGCTTTCTCACCTTAATGAAGTGTGGTTTGATTTCTTTTTACTTCTCTTCTGTGAGATTTTAGGCTAGTGGTACCTTTGCTAATTTATACGTCTTGATTCACATCTACGAGGGAGTCTCCATCCTTCTGGTAAAGCGGGTGGGTGGAGGGCATAGAGGGGGGTGATTTGCTAGCTTCTTTGTTTGTTTTAAGGATTGTGAGGAGCAGAATCTAATAGAGTTTAAAGTGGCATCACGGTCCTCTGAAATTCAATCTGTGTAAATGTATTTCTAATTTAGTGTGTGGTGAGGTCGATCAGTCTGTTGGCAGCATGTCACTGCTGTGATCTGGGCCAACTGCCACAGTTGTTGGTGGGAAGATTCGGATGGGGGTGGTGTGTGTGTGTGTGTGTGAGCACACATGGCTGCATTCACACACTTGTTTCCACTGCTTGCTAACTAAGCATGAGTTATTTATAGCTTTGAAGGCACTTGCACTTACAGAAAGGAAACCTGTATGGGGGTGTCAGTTAACTCCATTTTTATTTCCTAGTCTCTTAGCATTCTTGTTTAACATTGTAAATGGGAAGCATGAGTACTTTTGTCCTATTTCAGTGCTTCCTGTTGTTGTTTTTCTTTTTTCTTTTTTTTTTTTTATTTTAATCAATGGCTGTTTAGCTCTTGCACCTGTAATTTTCTTCTTTGTTATTCATGTGTGGCGTAATTGATGTTTTGTACTGTCAATTAAGAACTTACAATTCATTCCTAATTTCTTCAGTATGCAGGAGTACCCATGTATTTCAGACAGCACATCATTCAGACAGCAAGATCACAATTACTATTATATCAAAAAGCCACGAGAGAAAATCTGCTCTGAGTGCCACACATGGAACGTACATAGTCTGCTTAAACAGTCTGAAGAAAAGCAGAAAGGGGAAGCTGTTAGCTTTGTTTCAGTACCTCCACAAGCTTATTGTTCCATCACCCCAGTATAAAACCTGAAAAGAGGTGGAGGAACCTTCTTGGACATCTGCTCCATAGATGTTCCTCTGTGGAGGAGCAGGAAAGTGCTGTGGCTTGGAGGGTTGTAGGAGTGGGGTTGTTCTGACTGGTATTAACATGGTTATGTCTTCTGTGCCTGGACTGCTGTCTCTTTCAGAAGGCCCTGGTTGTCTGAGATTGTGCCCATTTGGCCTCTTGGGAGGTTTAGCTCCAGATGGTTCTCTCTTTCGACTGAAAAAAACAGGAGGTGGAAGCTGGTACATCCAGCTCCATAAAGGCCCCACAAGTGGTTTTCCAGGGCACTGGCAGGCTTAGTTTGGTCCTGTCTTCTGGTGGTACCTAGTGAGCTTGGAGAGGGAAGAGCCAGCAGCTTATTTAAACCCTGCACAGGGAAGATCTGTGATGTTTTTGGAAGGGGTTTATTTTGATATGGGACCTCTGTGCTATTATTTATTGAAGTGTTGAGGGATTCAGAACTCTTTGCATGGTGGGACATGTGGTTGTTCTGACTTCTGTCTAGATGCATCTGTCCAGCCCTGGCACTTTCCCAATGGAATGCAACATGCAATTGAATAGAAATAAGAGCTCGCTCACAGGGTTGAAGTCCAGCACTTTAAAAATTTTAAGTGTAGTAGTCATAAGATCTAGGACAGTAAATCCCCATGTTTGCTTAATTTAAAGAAAAAAAAGATTAAGTTAGAACTATCTTAGGTCCTAGTCCTTCAAAATGCTCAGGTGGTATAGTCCCTGCATTCACAATCAAAGCTTCCTTTTCAGCAGGGGAGTCTAGTGGGAAAGCAGCTCTGTGGTCATGTCTCTGTCCTTGTCCCATCACACCCAGCAGCAGCGTCAGAAACACAGTGTAAATTTGTCACCTTAGAATCGTGAATCGTTAAACTGAGAAAAGACCGTCATGATAGCCAAGTCCAAATACCACTATGTCAGCAGATACTTTCACTTTCTGTTTTTTAAAAGAGAAATTTAAAAATCCCATCACCACTACAAGTTCGCTCTTCATTGCTCTTGTGGGGTTTATTTTAGTGGGAGCAGCTGCATTCGATCAGAGATGGAGCAGTATTATCATGCAATAGTGTGGAAGAAAGATCCTTGACATATGTAAGGTCCCATACTAAGGAGGAGAACTCCCATGTACCTGTCCTGCTATGTGTAAGAAACTCTAATGATTCAAATAATTTTTATGTACCTTGCCCCCCTAATTTCAGAGGGAAATAATTTAACTAACTAAGGTGACCCGCTTGGTTTCATTATTCAGAATACTAAGGCTGTAGACATATTTTTAATTAGTTTGTTTTTTAAACTCTTGATTTGATAATACAATGTACTAATTACTTCTGGAAAGGTAATTGGAGCAGAGTGAAAAAGCTGTAACAGTTGATGGATACCTGAGCACCCTGGAATACATCTAATTGATCAGACTTGGCAAGGCTGCCCTGCTTTCTATTATTTTAAAATCCTTCTTTTTAAAAAGTGTGGGATTTTTTTTTTTTTTTTTTAATTTTATTACATTGTGACCTAGAATTTCCAACACGAGAAGGAAGGGAATAGCACAGATATCTCTGAAGTGTTTGTCTGCAGTGTTCTTATCTTTAAATAGCTTCTTTGAAGGAGCCCGTGTGCCCTTTGCCAGAGGCATAATTAGTGTCTTTCAGCAGCGTGTAAGATACAAGTGTGTCATCTCTGTGTGGTTGTACAACGGCTTTCACTTTTGCTGTTATTTTCTGCCTCTGATCATATTTTTTCTTAATAGCTTCTGTTACAGTGCATTTAAGCTACCTTTGCTCTCTGTAATTATTTACGGGTTAAAATATTGCGAGTCAAATAATAACGGGGTAAAGGAGGAAGGAGAAACAACTCCCTGGGAGCAATAGATCTTTGGCAAAAGTTGATAACAGGAAGGCTATGATTAGGAGACTACATTTTAAGAAGTTTTCCCATGATCAATTTTCTAATTAAGCTGAGCCTCTGGGAGTTACATGCTAGAGAATTTCAGGGATTCCTAAATAAAGATGGTTTAATTGAGATCTCACAAATTGAGTTTTCAGGTTCTTCTATTCTGCAAAACGCGTGATTGTTCTTTTTGTTTGAGTACTGTGCTGAGTTAATGATCTGATGATTTATTACAATAGGGTAAAATCAAAATAAAAAATTTCACTGTAGCACATGTGTCTGAACTTCAGTGACTTTTAACTCCCAGTGCTCCACTCCTCTCACAGTTTGCTTTTAAATAGTTATTTCATTCTTTTTAAACACCTGTGTTTGGGTGGTAGGCTCAAGGAGCTTTGATCCCAGTCTTCTGCTTTGAGTCTTGATAGGAGAGGTTGACTGTGTCAGTTGATACCTGCAGAGATTTTCCATTACAACGGGAGAGCCCCCAAAACCAAAACTTGCGGGCTCTTGAATTTGGGCACGTTAGAAAACAACTGTATCTTTTAACAAGGCAGAAGGTATGTTTGCCTGGCAGTTTGGTGTCAGTAGGTACACTGTACTTTGAGAGCTGCTGACTGCATTAATCACATTCTTGAAGCACCAGCCTTCCCAGGGAGCCCATTGCCACCGTGGAGACGTGCTCACCACATCAGAGTAAGCAGATTCAATAGCCCAACGAGTTGATTAGGCTGGAAACAAAGCAATGAAATGGTGACAGTGTTCAAAAATGTGAGCTTTTTTGCAGTTCTGGGTTAGTTTCTGTAATTCAAAAATAATATTACAACATGCAGACATACAAAATACTGGAAGAATTTTCATTGATTTTCTTGTTCAGTCATTTAGTACTTGAAACTAAAATTTTAGAATGGATTGAAAAGACAAGAATAAACTTCAGGGTGTTAAATCTTAATTGCACAAACCATTTAATAAAAATAACTTTGCATTTTGTAACTGTAATCTCACAGTTCTTTTTTAAACTCTGGAGTGATATTGAAGAATAGAATACAGGATATTTCTCATGTGCAACCATTTAGGCCACCTGTGGAATATGCTGCTCT